GCACACACACACGCACACACACACAAATAAATTTTTAAAAAAATTTAAAAAACAAACAAACAAAAACCAAACAATGGAGCTGTGTTCATACTGAATTGTGGAGTCAAACTATTTACCATCTCTCCTTCCTGACCCTTCAGGGCCTTCTCTTAGTTTATTAATTTTATACAAAACAAAATGCCTTAGAAATAAAAGCTTCCATAAAGCTTCCAACATGTACATCCTCCTTTAACATGACAGTCTCGAGTCGGGAAGCCTCAGTCCAATCTGTCTGAGATGACCTCCCCGCTCATGGTAAAGGTGTCTTGAAGGATGGAAAATGCTGAGTTAACAGAAAAGTAGCAGCAACTGAAATGCCATAGCGCCGTCTGTGAACCAATTACTGAGAACGTTTTCGAATGAGTTTTTTATTTATAGAGTCGTGATGGGTTAAGTTGGTGCGGAACACAGGAGCTAACGCAATAGTCTTGGTAGGATATTTATCCTTCTAACCTGTACCTGAAGAGCTTGATGTTTTTCCGTAACTTCTGCACAAGGGTACTATGCGAATGGAAATCACAGCTTTTTCTTAACCTCTGCTGTTTGCTTCCCAACGTAATTTCAACATAAAGTAAATTTGTGCTTAGGAATTTCAAAAAAAAAGGGGCTGACATTCTGAGCACGATAGCACACCGCTATAATTCTAGCACTCTGCAAGACCGAGGCGGGAGGATGGCAGATTGAAGCCCAACCTCACAGATAAAATGACACTTTCCAAGGACTGGCTTTTGTTTTAAGCTCTAATATCCACTGAAAGTCTTACAGTTCTACCTGTAAGTACCCTGTCTCAAAACACCACGTTGAATTGAGCAATTATTTCTAATGGGAAGTCTTTTCCCAAGAGTTCCTTTCTATTAATAAACCTCATTAATTAAACTCTTAAACATTGTAAGCTGCATGTATGAATTTACAGTGTACTATATCCAGGTTTTAGTTTTAATGGTCCAATAAAAATTCCAGGGGATTCTTATAAATTGAAGCACTGAAGCAGAAAGATATATAAAATGGCCCTTTCCTTTTCTCTTCTTCCATTTATGAAAAGTTTGGATGTAAAGCCGTTCTGTCTCCTACACAAGGTTACCACCTTGGAGCCGACTGGATGCAGTGGGCCGAGGGGTGCTGGTTCCACAGGAGGGACCAGGACTGAGTAGGTGGCCGGTGATGAGGGTGGAGGGAGGACTGCGAGGGAGAGAGCAGGAGCTGCCATGGGGAGGGGTGACTGGGGGTGGTCACCTCACTGCCTGGAGCTGCTGGGCATCCTGAGGAGATGGAGCACTGTGAGAGGGGACAGGGGCACCTGTGGCCTTCAGAAGGGTGATACAATTGCAGATCCAAGAAGAGAACAGAGACTGAGCCCTGTAATACGAACTAACGGCTGGAAGAGTTGGGGTTTTGTGGGGTTAGGTTATTATTATTATTATTTTTTTTTTTTTTGGTATTTGGAGACAAGGTATCAATCATTATATAATACAGGCTGACCTTGAACTCACTGTGTAGCCCAGGCTGAGCTGAACTCATGGAGATTGTCCTGTCTCGGCCTCCCAAGTACTAGGATTGCAGGTGTATGTCTCCACATCAGGTCATAATTTATGTGTTTGAGTTTTTTTTTTTTTTTCAGTGCCAAAGATGAAACCAAGGGTCTCACACATGAGTTCCATAAAACCACTTTTTTAAGCCTGGCATGGTGGTTCATGATTGTAATTACATACTGAGTAATCTAACAATTTAGGAAACCATCTCAAATTTTAAGAATAAATACATTTTTAGGGCCAGGGAGCTCAGTAGAGTAAGTGCTCACCTGGGGGTTCTGAGTTCAATCTCTGGTACCACAATAAATAAATAAATAAATAAATTCTTAAAGGTTAAGGGTATAGATCAGTGTAGTCCTCGTTTCAGTCTTTAGTAATTAAAAAAAAAAAATGTGTGAAACATGCAGGGGACGTCATCCAGGTCCGGAAAGGCCACCTCGACCCTGCCGGGAGGTCCTGCTCTGCCCATTCCTTGTTATGAGGCCTTGCTGAGATACAGACCCTCCCTGAGCCTCAGTTTCTCACCTGCGTAATGGGGGCTTTGCAGCTCACCCACTAATATAGCTGCCCAGGATTCCTCTCTGAGCGCTTGCTTCCCTGAACCACACCTTCACTGAGGAGCCCTGGAGAGCCCGGAGGGGGCTGCGGAGGTGGGAGGCTGGGCTTGGAAGAGCAAGAAGGGAGTTCTGTCACTGCTGTCTCCACCTCAACTTCCCACTCTGCACGTGCACCTCCCCGGGGCTCAGTGCCATCTGCTGGGTGGGGCGGGCGTAGGCAGGTGGGGGAGGGGACTTCCGGAGAGCAGCTGGGTGCGGTTTGGGCTCAGCCTGTGGTCCTCCCAAGCCATCCTGTTCTGCGACTTCCAGAAACTTGTTCACCATTTTCCTCCATTCTCACACCGAGTCAAGGAAATCCCTGAAGTCTGGTCAGCTCTCCAAAGTCTCTCCCCATCCACACTGCAGGCTGTGAACAGGTGACCGCGCCCCTGCACCCCCAGCTGAATATCAGCACACCTGGGGACCCAGAGGCTAGGGAGGGCGCTGTTCTTCGGTCTCCTTCACTTCACCCGAGTCGCAGAGCACTGACCACGTGCCAGGCACACTGTGGGGACAGGAACATAGCACAAGACACACCTCTAGATGGCTGCTCTTGCAGAGGTTGTGACACCCAAAGAGGGCAGCCAGACGGGGTCTGAGGGGCTGACGAAGGGGAAGGGGAAGTAGAAGGCGTGCAGCCCTGGCGGGGCTCGGCAGCCCGCGTTCCGTGCAGCCCGCAGAGGCCCTTGTGTGCTGGGCGGCAGAGCAGGGCCGCTGGCCACGGGTCCGTGCAGCTTTGAGTGTGTGGGGAGGTTCCTGTCGTTGCTGTCCCTCTTCTTCCCAGCTCGGGGCCTT